ACTATCTAGACTGAAATTGGATACTGGATATGCAGCTAAAGGTTAGTTGCTAAAGGCAAGGGATTACCGTGATCCCCTGTTGGCGTCTGAGCCCTGGTCCTTGTATGTGCATCAGAGCAGAATTGGAGATGTGCTTTTGCCGGGCTGGAGCCAACTGAGGTTGTTCGCCCGGTAACTTAGTAGAAGCCTTGCCCCTCAGGGCGTGATGATTAGGGCCTTCACCCTTCCAATCATATTAATGTGCATGTATACCGGTGTCACCTCCGGGAATATGGCAGCCGTTTCAATAGTGGGTACTGGACTTTCCATCATTAATATTCCACCAGGCCTGTGACCAAAGGGGGGTTCGGGCAGAGGCTAATGTAAGCCTATCATTAGGGCACAGACGGAGTTGGCCAAACAAATGGGCACAGACAGAGCAGGACAATCCAATGGGGCACAGGCATAGCAGGCCAGTCAATGGGTCACAGACAAAGCAGGCCAATCACTGAGGCACAGACAGAGCAGGCCAATCACTGAGGCACAGACAGAGCAGGCCAATCAATGGGGCACATACATAGCAGGCCAATCAATGGAGCATAGACATAGCAGGCCAATCAATGGGGCACAGACACAGCAGGCCAATCAATGGCCTATGATCCTACGGTGTGACAAAGTGCTAAAATATGACATGCTTAATTCCCCAACCTTGTCCGCACAGCTGCTTCTGTGTGCTGGAACATTAAGCAGGTAGTAAGGAACAGGAAGTGGGAGAGCTTTGTTACCTGGCTCAGGGGGAGGAAACCTTTGGCACTCCAGATGTTGTGGACTGCATCTGCCAAAATGCCCTTACAGCCATAATGCTGGCAAAACATCAATGGAGATGTAATCCACAATATCTGGAGTGCCAAAGGTTGCCTACCCCGATCTTAGCTCAATGACAAATTTTAAATGGACCTTAGAAACTAGAAATGGCTAAGGTAGACTTGCCTGTAATAAAACCTGCAACCCTAAGGTTGTTACAGGTTCTACAGATTTTTCAGTAGCTACACTAGTAACCAATTGAGTTGTCCGACCAGTATTTTGGTTGTTTGGTCTTCTATGAACACCTTCTTAGACAGTTAGACTGTTGCTTATTTACACTTTTTGTGCCCGTTTTATAATGCATTGGAAAATATGAAAACAGCTGAGTGCCCACCGTATTTCATATTAGAATGCCAATGGGTAGAGTGATTATGAGAATGATATAGAGTGCCAATATTGTAGGTTTTATAGTACAGGTGTGGGTGGTATAAATCCTTCAATCAGATATCTAAATTGTAGTACAAAGAAAACCTGGAATATATTATGCTTCAAAGTGAAATTGCTTACAGTCTTTCTTGATCATTTTAATTAATATTTATAACTGATGAGTACTTCCATCTGTGTGCCTTTCAGATATCACAAATGCAATATTGCTATGGTTACGCTCAACAGCTCAAATATAACCCATATAACTTATTGATGTATATATTCTAAATGTCAGATGCCTGTTGTGAATAGGAGTAAATATATATAAATGCAAATAAAACCTTTTATTTTACTCATCCCTACCCATCAAAGCTACAGCTTTTAAATAACAATATAAAAAAGTGACCCTGGTTCACATTTCACCTTCCTCAGTTGAAAGAAAATAGTGACAGGTAAAGTAGAATGTTGAAATGTCAGTAAATGTAGCCACATGTGCCTGATGTTTAAATGTGTAAATATTTAGTAAGTAGGATGTCATCCCTGTTTTCTTTTACTTAAAGGGACACTATAGTCACCTGAACAACTTTAGCTTAATGAAGCAGATTTGGTGTATAGAACATGCCCCTGCAGCCTCACTTCTCAATCCTCTGCCATTTAGGAGTTAAATCCCTTTGTTTATGAACCCTAGTCACACCTCCCTGCATGTGACTTGCACAGCCTTCCATAAACACTTCCTGTAAAGAGAGCCCTATTTAGGCTATTTAGGCTTTCTTTATTGCAAGTTCTGTTTAATTAAGATTTTCTTATCCCCTGCTATGTTAATAGCTTGCTAGACCCTGCAAGAGCCTCCTGTATGTGATTAAAGTTCAATTTAGAGATTGAGATACAATTATTTAAGGTAAATTACATCTGTTTGAAAGTGAAACCAGTTTTTGATAATTTACAAATGTGCATCATGCCAGATACATTTGGTCCCAAATTTTTACAGAATCATTGCTTTGCGAATATTCAGATTCCTTTGCTTTGTATAGGGTTTGGATGCAAAAAGCACTGATTTAGTCCAGACACTGAATGCAGATTGTTGCATTTTTACATGAACTGACAGAGTTCTGACCGTATTTGGCTTTTGTAAATATCAGAATTACACTTGCAGATAGTATTTGGTCATTTTTTTCATACTTTGGCCGTTTGGCCGTTTTTTTTCAGATTTAGTGAATAACCCTGTTAATGGTTGTCATAAGTATTTTTCTGAATGTTATTCTTGAGGGTGATGGAATTGATGGTGATGTGGGAGATTGGGCTGGCCTGTCCATTCTATATGTGAACCCACCCATTTTCCTAATGTGATTTCACCTTATGGGTGGAGTCACTGATATGAATCTCCTCGATGGCCTGCCCTGAGATTGTCCATAAAACAGGTGTTCATCAATGTGCAAAGTGTCATGAACCAGAAAGGAAGCTCCTGATATCACCAACTCTCCGCTATAGTTCTCCAAGAAGCAATAGTTCTCCGCTATAGTTCTCCAAGAAGCAACAGCTTCTTTTGATAAAAGAAAAGTGCAAGAAGTTTATATAGTCCATCAATCAAAATAATTTGTTTCCAAAATACTTTCTCCTGGAGTCACTCCCAAACCATGTGGATGAAGTAGCATCACACCTTTTAATTCATCTACCTTAAATCCGAATGAATAACTCTCAATTGCAAGACCCACACTAGTGTGATGTATATTCTTGTCTGCATCTTGTAGCATTGCACCTGCAGGGTCAGACAAATTAAAAAAATCAGCAGCAACCTTTCACATGTATTGCCATTTGTCTCCATTTACCAGGACAATATTTGATTCCCATCAAGAGACATAGGTAAGAGGTGAACCCCATGGTCTCAGTGACCATTGTTATTCAGTATTGACACAAGGTGGAGGTGAGCCCCTTTTCATATTCACTCTTTAAGCAAACTTACTCATATCTAAAAGCCGGTTTTGCAACTTCAACCTTGTCCGCAAAACTACGCACCTGCAGATATCTAAAATAATTCCAGGGATTATTATTTACTTTCATTTCAACTACCAATACATCCTAACATGCCTTTCACCTATATTCTCCTCTTTTGAAGTTTACACTTTCTCAACTTGGTTTTCTCTAAAATTTCATTCCGCTGACAAGTCTTTCAATCACTACTTGATTTTATTGTGACTTGTACTTGTTAAATGGCAAGCTTGCCCAATGATAGCCAGAAAACAGTAATAATCACTATACTAAAGTATTTATCAAAGTAAATCATGGTGGAGCAGGAATAGACAGGGATTAAAAATAGGCTCACATTTAAATTCACAGATATGAGAATAAGGGCTAGTGTTTTGAGAATTAGAGTTAAGGGATTTAGATCTAGAAGAATAAGGATTTGGGGGATTAAGTGTGGCATTCATATAATTAGGGATATTAAGTTTAGAATTCACCTGTCTGAAAATCAATGAGTTATAGTTCATAGCACCTTGAAGACAGGTTACTACAAACTCTAAGCTCCCTTCATATAGAGTTAACCTATTTAACAGATACATTTTAAATGCACCTTTGAAGACATATATCTCTCCTCCCTTTCCCAGTTTCTTTTTATTTTCTCTACCAGTCTCTCTTCATCTCCATTTTTCTTCATCCTTCTTTTACAAGGGCCACCATTTCCTACATCCCCTAGTTCCCTATCCACTCTCCATTGCATGCCATTTTGAAGACACATTCACTGTTTTAGTAGTTGTGCCAAAAACAAAATCCAAACATAACAAAAAAGTTTGAATTTTATATTTTTAAATGTATATGTATTGCGTTTTAGTCAGTCATGTACAATGTTATGATCAATTAGTAAAATGAAAATAGACTATTCACTCTAAAATCCATTGCTTTTCTTTCTCCTGTTTATCAATTATTACCTCCATCGATCTTCCTGTCGACCTAGAGATTACCAGATTTTCTATTTGTGTCTCTCCATATCTATTAGGGTTGCAGTGCAGCAAAAAATATGAGGCAGAAAATCAGTTTCTGGCAGGTTTCCATTTTGGAAGCAGTACTACAAGTCTAAGCATTTATTCATTTCATATACTTCTTCAAAATAGATTTAGAACCTTCACACCTGGCAGAATTATAGTTATGGAAATTAGGCTGGAAATGCATGGCTAACGTGCCTCTGCAATGTTTTGTTACTTGAATAATGGACAGTGCTTCTCTCAAATCTCTTGCATCACATTACGGGTTTCACGGAGTACAAATGAGTCATGGTCCATAAATTCAGTAAAATATGAAAGATCTTGATCCTACAACCCCTTTCTATGGTATTCTACAGGTTAAATGGAAGAGCTTTGTCGATAGTGCTATACATCCTTACATACAGAATGTATTCTATTTAGTAGGCACAACTATACGATATCATGTGTTTCTGCATACTGCAGTAAAATAGTGTTTGCCAAGAAGGTTTTAGAACGGTTATAATGTTGCCTGTAAGTTATAATGTTTTCCCTCAATACACACGCAAACCTCACACCCAAAATATAAAATCTGATGGTTGATATTCAGTAGTGGTGGGTGAATTAAGCGATAGGGAGCAAAGCTGAGATATTTGCCTGTAAAGCTCTTGCCAAGATTTATGTATCTGATAGAGATGCTTAATCTGCCAGTAAGACTATGCATTTTTTTATATTACCACCCACTCCCTAGCTAATGAAGCCAGGGCCGCCATCAGAAATTTTTGGGCCCCTGACAAAGCACAAGGTCTGGGTCTCCCCTCCCTCCCTCTCCCCCAGCCCACCCACGCACTACCTAGTCCACTGACAATGATGCAGGACTGAATGTGGTGGGTTTAGTGGAAGTGAATTAGAATGTGTGTAATGGATGTAGTGTTTGTGTGTATTAGATACTGTTTGTGCAGTGAATGCAGAGTGTGTTTGTGTAGCGGATGCAGTGTGTATAGTGAACGCAGAGTGTGTTTGAGTAGTGGATGTAGTATGTGTACATTGATGTAGTGTGTGTTTGTGTAGTGGATGTAGTGTTTGTGTGTACTAGATGAAATGTGTTTAGTGGATGCAGTGTCTGTAGTGGATGTAGTGTGTGTATTAGACACAGTGTCTGTGTATAGTGAATGCAGAGTGTTTCAATTTGTGGTGGATGTAGTGTGTGTACTGTGAATACAGGATGTTTGTGTAGTGGATGCTGTGTGTATAGTTAATGCAGAGTGTATGTTAGTGTAGTGAATGCAGAGTGTGTGTCAGTATAGTAAATGCAGAGTGTGTGTCAGTATAGTGAATGCAGAGTGTGTGTCAGTATAGGGAATGCAGAGTGTGTGCATAGTTTAGTGAATGCAGAGTGTGTGTTAGTGTGTAATGAATGCAGAGTGTGTGTTAGTGTGTAGTGAATGCAGAGTGTGTCAGTGTAATGAATGTAGTGTGTGTGTTAGTGCAATGAATGCAGTGTGTGTAAATGTGTAGTGAATGCAGAGTGTGTGTTAATGTGTAGTGAATGCAGAGAGTTTGTTAGTGTGTAGCGAATGCAGAGAGTGTGTTAGTGTAGTGAATGCAGAGTGTTAATGTGTAGTGAATGCAGAGAGTGTGTTAGTGTGTAGCGGATGCAGAGTGTGTGTTAGTGTAGTGAATGCAGAGTGTTAATGTGTAGTGAATGCAGAGAGTGTGTTAGTGTGTACCGGATGCAGAGTGTGTGTTAGTGTATTGAATGCAGAGTGTGTTAATGTGTAGTGAATGTAGAGTGTGTGTTGTATTAGTGTGTGCAGTGTGTGTGTTGTATTAGTGTATGCAATGTGTGTGTTGTGTTAGTGTATGCAGAGTGTGTGTTGTATTAGTGTATGCAGTGTGTGTGTTGTGTTAGTGTTTGCAGTGTGTGTGTTGTATTAGTGTATGCAGAATGTGTGTTGTATTAGTGTATGCATTGTGTGTGTTGTGTTAGTTTATGCAGAGTGTGTGTTGTATTAGTGTATGCAGTGTGTGTGTTGTGTTAGTGTATGCAGTGTGTGTTGTATTAGTGTATGCAGAGTGTGTGTTGTATTAGTGTATGCAGTGTGTGTGTGTGTTGTGTTAGTGTATGCAGTGTGTGTGTTGTGTTAGTGTATGCAGGGCTGCCATCAGGGGGTGACAACCATGATGGTTGTTACGGGCCTGGAGGCTCTGGCAGTCCCGGGCCCCACTTTCCCTCTCTGCACACATAGATAGCGAATATCGCTATCTATATGTGCAGCTGCGGGCCCCTGGCTTACCGCAGAGGGGGCCCAGCACACTGCTTCTACCCTTCTCTTCTCCTCTCTTCCAATAACTCTTGCGAGACCCGCAGCCTTCTGAGCATTGCCACGGGTTACCATGGCAATGCTCCGCGCCGCACGCAGGCTGCGGGTCTCGCAAGAGTTATTGGAAGAGAGAAGAAGAGAAGAGTAGAAGCTGTGTGCTAGGCACCCTCTGCGGTAACAGGGAGTCGGGGGCCCGCGGCTGCACATATAGATAACGATATTCGCTATCTATGTGTGCAGAGAGGGAAAGTGGGGCCCGGGACTGCCAGAGCAGTCCGGGCCCCCAGGACCTCCAGGCCCGTGACAACCATCATGGTTGTCACCCCCTGATGGCGGCCCTGAGTGAAGCAAGTGAGCAGATCCTCACTGTAAAACAAGGCCTTCCAATATACTTGGCTTCATCTTAGTATATTAATATCTTGGTGGAGACATGGTAAGGTATGCTGATTTCTACAATATAAGTTCGTGTTTATGCAAACACTGTACAGATCGTAACTTGTACAAGAGACCTCATGGTTTATGTGGGAGCCTGTGCTACAGCTGCATGCATGAACTGAACTGCATGAACTGATGGGGAAATCTGTGAAAAACATGATTAAAAAGGATGTTTGTCAAAATAACTAGTTAACAAAAGTTAACTTCATTCTTTTCAGTAATGAAACTACTGCCAACTGCTGTATTTTATATATCATAAACACTTTCCTTTAAGGACTATATGAGTTATCCTTATTTCTTCTAGTGCAAATAATTGTAGAACCAAGATTGACTGAGAAATCCCAGCTATTTCTTACTCCCTGCAGAAGCTGCAGATTTGCATCAACCTAATATCCTTATTGGAGCTATACCTGTAAGCTTTATTTAATTTTTTTAATTAATCTGTGTATCCATTGTTCAAGTACCTTGAATCTGCCACCAGAGGTTCCAAAGACCAATCCTTCCCACTTGAGCTGCAATACCAAAACATAACGTTCACGATTTGCAGGATGATGTCCATGACGATTAGAAGTACATACATGAAAATCAGTACTCTAGACCAGTGATTGCAAAAGCAGATTAGAGTACAATCACACTCACTGCCAAGTACTTAATTTCCATTATGTTTCTGCAAGTTATTGATTAAAGTACATTTTTAAAACCTCTGAGGTTTGCTGGAAACATAAAGTTTGATTGAATGGTATGTTTGAACTATTTAATATACTGGAGCCTAGAAGACCACTGCATGTTGGATGTGGCAATTGTGATTACCTGTTACATAGAAGGCTCGCGAAGTTTTACAAATACGCCAGCAATATCTTGTTGGACAAATAGTTTGTTCCTCTAGCATGCTATAATGTAGTAAAAGGTGAGGGGCAGGGCTAGATTAAGAGCCCATTGGGCCTGGTGCTGACAATTATGATGGGCCTAATCACATAATCTTATCAACAGAAAACACTAAAACAGTTATATCTCCCAAGAGTCATGTATCTGGTGGAGATGGTGCTGGAGGGAAACTCTTCGGATATAGCTATCAGAAAACACAAACCCTATTCTAATCTCTCACTTTCATCTTTCAAGTAAATCCATACCCCCTAACAGCATCGCCCAGTGAAGTAGGATTTTGGTGGGCGGGGTAAAAGGGTGTGTCACTGATGTGAATCACATAACGAGAACCACCCAAAGGGACAAACATGCCCCAAAAGAAGCGTGTCCGCACGAGGAATTAGATGGAGTTGTTTTACATTGAAAGAACATGATCAACAAAAAAAATATTTACTTTTAATTTATTTATTTATTTATAATGAAGAAAAAAAAAACCTTTTATAGAAAAGGAAAAAAAATCTTCATGAACAGTTTTAATCATTAAATTTTGATTTGTAGTAAATTAAAGTCTGATGGCAAAATGTGGGCAGAGTAACTAGTCACAACTTGGCTGTATTGAGTGAATTTGAATATTCACAGTGTTATTCATTACAGTATGGAGACCATGTTATAGCACCTATCTGTGATAAAAGAGGCTCTTACAAACAAATAATGAATTATAGAAAGATACATAGAATAAACTACTACAACACTTGGATTGGTTTGTTCTTTACACCAAACCAGAACTGTACAAAAAAGATCTTATACTGTGTGACCTGATAACGACATCAGTAAATGAGTGGAATGCTTGCTGGTGAGTATATATTATCACTACGCAATCATTCAACCTTGATATGCACTGGGTGTGCAGGTACAACTGGCTCAGTCACCCAGGGAAGCTTGCTATTACTGAGGGTATTGGCCTTGTCTCTGTCTCCAGGACTCTGGTATTCAGGCAGACTTTATACCACCAGGATATCCATTATCAGCACTCTTTTGTAAATTGTATTATTAGCACTCTTTTGTAAATGCATCATTGCATTATCAGCACTCTTTTGTAAATTGCATTATTAGCACTCTTTTGTAAAATGCATCATTGCATTATCAGCACTCTTTAGTAAAATGCATCATTGCATTATCAGCGCACTTTTGTAAATTGTATTATTAGCATTCTTTTGGAAAATGCATCATTGCATTATCAGCACTATTTAGTAAAATGTATCGTTGCATTATCAGCACTCTTTTTGTAAATGCATTGTTGCATTATCAGTGCTCTTTTGTAAATTGCATCATTGCATGTATAAACTTTCCTAAATGCTCACCACAGAAACCTCCTAAATATCACCTATTTGTTAGAAAGAACATTCCATTTGTCACCACCAGTGGGGGAAGGTTTTAAACAAATTTAGAGTATACCCAGGTAGTCACCTTATGGAAGTGCTGTTTATTGGGTCTTCAGGGATAAGAGGCTGAACCCTGGAAGGTCCTCATGTATGCAGTGGACCACTGTCATCCCATGAGAGAGAGAGTTGGGTCAGAGCCCCGTTCACTAAAGGGACTACCCAGGCTGGCGGCTCAGAGAGATGGGTCTTCAGGGATAAGAGGCTGAACCCTGACATGTATGCAATGGACTGCTTTAATCCCCTGAGGGAGCGATTGGATCTGACCCCCAGTCATGAAAGGGGGTACCCAGGCTGGCGACTCATAGAGATTGGTCTTAAGGGATAAGAGGCTGAACCCTGGCTGGGCCTCAGATATACCGTGGACCGCATTTATCCCCTGAGAGAGAGAGTTAGGTCAGACCCCCAGTCACTAAAGGGGTTACCCAGGCTAGTGACTCATAGAGATATGCTGTTGCTGGGTCTTCAGGGATAAGAGGCATGGCATGGCTTCATGTATAGACTGCGTTCCTTCTCTGAAGGAGGGAATTGGGTCAGACCCCGGGTCACTAAATAGATACCCAGGCTAGCAACTCATAGACATATGCTGTTGCTGGGTCTTCAGGGATTAGAGGCTGAACCCTGGCATGTATGCAATGGACTGTTTTCATCCCCTGAGGGAGCGATTGGGTTTAAACCCAGGTCATTAAAGGAGGTACCCAGGCTAGCAACTCATAGAGATGTGATGTTGCTGGGTCTTCAGGGATAAGAGGCTGAACCCTGGCATGTATAGAGTGGACCGCTTTCTTCACCTGAGGGAGAGAGTGGGTCTGACCCCTGGTCAGTAAAGGAGATACCCAGGCTGGTGAGTCATAGAGATGTGCTGTTGCTAGGTCTTCATGGCTTAGAGGCTGAACCCTGGCAGGGACACATAAAATACTGGTCTGGTGAGCATAGAAGAAAAATCTAGGCCTGCTTAAGCAGACTCCTTCCAAACTGCTGTGAAGGACAGGAAAAAAGACTGCCTGATGGGGAGGGGATCAATCTATTTATACCAATTTCCTGTCCTTTCTGCTGTGAGGGGAGGAGCTAACTCATGAGTAAATTATGCCATGTTTGATCATAAAAAAATATATAGTGCAAAACTGTGGTTTAAAATGTGATGAGATGAGATGTGGTCAGAATGGACTTATTATAATTATTATTGTATGAATCATAATATGCTTTTTCCCTAATATTGGGACATGGCACTATATTTGTGACTGCATATTTACAGAGGCATGAGGATAATATATATTTAGTG